TATTGCTCTAGTTTTTTTCCTCAAACATCAGTTCTTTGGAATTCGCTTCCTTCAATCTTTTAAGTCGTCTGTCAATTGTTATCTTGCTCTACAATCTTCATCTTTTCTCTTCCAGTAATTTCCAACTTCCAGTAATGTCCTATATAAAGTTTAACCAGGGCTATTTTTTAGATTTTTTTATTGTATCAAAACATGTTTAATAATGTATGATGACTTCCTATGTCTTATTGTTGAATCTTATATTTACCATAGGGAAATAAAAGCCATTTTACTTTTTCAAATGTGCGTGTAAAAAGACTAAGGTTTATAGTTTAATATTTATGTATTTTAATTTAGGTTTTGAGAGTGACCCTGATGATGTACCCGGTATCGCACACTTTTGTGAACACATGTTGTTTCTTGGGACGCATAAAGTTATTGTTTATTTTTATTTTTTTATTTTCTTATATTGTTATATTATATATTATATTGTTTATTTTCTTGGGACGCATAAAGTCATTGTTTGTTTTTATACTTAGTTTTTAAAATTGAATTGCTAATTTAAAAGTTTCATTTTTTTATTTATGTTCAAAAAACTTTCGTTGTATTGTTTTTATAAAACTATTTGTTCTATGACTCTAGTTTGTTTATATATTTATAGATCATTATTAATGTATGCATAGATTTATTAATGTATGCATAGATTTATAGATAAGGAAGTTTTTTTACTGAGTTTACTTTACTTTTTTACTAAGTTTTCAGTATACTGTTGTTAGCTTTCCGTATAATAGTTATATCAGTGCACATGCTTATAACAAATATTTATATATATATTTATTTTTTAATTTAGTATCCAATTGAAAATGAATATTCAAAGGTAAATATTTAATTCTAGATTAGTGATGATGATTATGACAATAATGAATATTTTTTAATTTTTTTAAAGTTTCTTTCACAAAATGGCGGCTATTCAAATGCTTATACATCAGATCAGCATACAAATTATTATTTTGGTGTGAAGTCTGATCAGCTAGAGGGTGCTTTAGACAGGTAGTTTTATAAAACATCTAGATTTGGCTCTGCAATTTGAATAATAAAATTATACTTTTATAAGTAAATTGTATAAATACTCTATTGGATTAAGTGAGATAAGATTGGATTAAGTGCATGATTATATTAATAATTTAACTAAGAAATTATTTTAAAACTATATATTTAATACTTTGAAATAAACAACAATAGCAATATGTTTAATACTTTAACAAAAGTTTCTTTGTTTAAGTATAAAATGATCAGGTAATGCATTATTTTTATAATCAATGTCAATATTGACTTCTTGCGAGGCAATTTTTACTACTATACTATTTCAGCATTAAAAATAGTAATATATTATATATCAACAAAATAAATAAGTACCTATATAAAATATTATTATTATATTATTTGTGCATTGAGTGACAAAATTAAAGCAAAAGATAAAAAGATACTTAAAATAGATTTTATTTGACATTTTATTTTTATGTTAATTAAAAAAGTTTTTTCTTGCATTTAAGTTATTAATTCTTCTGACAATCAAAATACATACAAGTATTTTCATTGTTAAAAGTATGATAAAACGTTTTATTATTTAACCATGTATAAATATTATATATAATATTCGATGGTTTACATTATTAACAGAATCATCATTAGTTCTTGACAGTACCACTAAAGCATACAATACTCGTTAATAAAATTCTGGTGCACTATGATATACTTTAGAAATCATTATGATTAAATTTGGATTATATAAATGAAACTTGAAATGAAAAATAAACTAAAAAATAAAAAATTTGTTTGAAACTATGATACATAAATCTACAATTACTTTAATGTTGTTTGCCTTCCGAAAGCCAAGGTGACCACTACAGTAGAGGATGATACTTTTTCTTTATTGTGGAGAAACAATTTGAATGTGGTACTTCCAGGGATGTGGTAGGGATTAAACTTCTTGCTTATAAAGTGAGCTGCCTACCACTTCACCACTGGCGCATTTCAATTAGCAACTATATATAATAATTTTGTTTTTTAAAAAAATCTTCATTTAATATATGTGTTTCAATTATTTTTATGAAACAATAGACTAAGGCCTAGTGTCTAACTGAGCAACCTGGCAAATGCTTTGTACGCCTGACCATTTTAATGCAAGTATGGCCAGATGTGCTTTGTATTATTTCTAGACAAAAAAAATTTTAAATGCTCAAGAAGTATTTTATTTTCTTGTTTACTTGCCTTTTATTTTTTAAAATTAAAGATTATTCAAGTTTTTCAATTTTTCAAGGTAGTTTTCCACATGACTGTACAAAAAAATACAATATTTTAATATATTTTGTTAAGAATATCTGACTAAGATATATATGGACTATAAAACGTTTTGTAAATTAGTTAGTTATAGAGGGATAGGGGATACTAATTGAAAATCAGGCATAAATTAAGATGTAAACAGATTTTAACGTAGAGGGTAAACAGGTTCTACTGGTTGACCAGCCCGGCACCCCTTCTTCATCTATTAGGCTGGCGTATATATATTTATAATGCATTATTTCAAGTTTAGGATGTTGAATGCTAGATCTTCTTGACTTAATGCATAGGTTTTGCTTGCAACTCTGTTTTTATGACTAGACAACTCATACTGTTATCCTAATGAGGGTACAGCTCCAAAACTGAGTTTTATGGTTCTGAGGCTGGCTGGTAGTCATGTTTTTTCCGAACTCTGTGGTAGCTCTCAGAGAGGCTGATTCCATCAACAGCTGTAATAGATCAGAATACTAACAGTACAATGTTGCAAATGGGTGGTGTCTCTGTTCATACTCTTGGTGTGCATTACCAAGGCCACATTTGAAGCCCTTTGTTACGGCTTAGGATTTATTAATAGTAATGAGGCAAATGCTTGGACTATTACTTTATATTCAATAGTGTACTGAGTACTATCTGTACTTTGAGTCAAGTTCTTTAACAAATTTGCTAGAGTACCAATAGCTATAAAACACAAAAAATTATTATCATCACCAAGTTCTCTAAACTATCATCTAATTAATAATACTGAACTTAATAGTAGTAGTAGTAGTAGTAGTAGTAGTAGTAGTAGTAGTAGTAGTAGTAGTAGTAGTAGTAGTAGTAGTAGTAGTAGTAGTAGTAGTAGTAGTAGTAGTAGTAGTAGTAGTAGTATGCTAATATCTAACTTACCTTACGCAAATATCTAAATTTCTTCAAATTATGTAATGTTAAAATGTTATTATGTTAATGTTACTAAAACATATATCAAGTTTTTCAGTTTTACTTTCACTTGAATTTTGCATTGCATCAGATTTGATCTGTAGCACTTAATTCCGTTTGACAAAGTTTTATATACTTTTAAAATTACCGACACAGTAACTCTGCATAGCCAAGTGGTTAGCACGCATCGCTCTGAAGCAGGCGTTCCAGGTTTGATTCCTACCTTCAGTTTTTTTTTTTTCAATATAATCTTTTCAATTTTTTTTTAATACAAAGTAAAACGCTTTTCAGGGAAAATGTTTATTTTGAAAGAAAGAAAGTTGTTTTGTTTTGCATTTTAAATAAAAAATATTAAAAAAAAAAAGCAAACTGATGATTTGAACCTGCCACGCGGCGACATTCACTTTTTTTTTTAAACAAGCAGGGGGTTTAAGAAATATGTTTTTATTAAGAAAATAATTCAAAATTCTAACTTTATATTTAAAATAAACCATTATATTAAAATTTTAATTCATTTTTAAAAGTATTAAAAAGTGAAAAAATACATAATATTAAGGTAATAAGGAAATTTAAAGTTTTACAGCTATTTTTTCACACCCACGTTAATCATTCTAAAACAAGCGAGCAACAACGGCAGAATTTAGATAACTATCAAAATAGCATTAAACTCTGTATAATATTGAAAGAAATTGGGCGCTTTTAACTGATAAGGCTCAAGGCATTGTAGATATGATGTATATTGTAGATATGATGTATAAAAACACGCAGTAGATATGATACACAGATGTGCACACTGTTAGTGTGGCCTAATTTTTTTTTAGTATTTCTCAAATAAAAAATAAAACATTTAAAAAAACTATAGATATTATATGCATGACATATATTAAAACATTACATTCTATAGCAAACGAAAGGGAGAGAATTTTAAAAAGTTTTAAAAATTTTTTAAAAACATGAAAACACCATTGAAATATTTTTGCACATTTATCATGATAGAGATAAAAATAAACTAATTATAAGCACACAAAATTTATGTGCTTATAAATAATTTATTGATTATAATAAACAACTTATCTTGTTAATGTACTTAAGTAATTAGTTCAAAATTAAGTAATTAGTTCAAAATTCAAAAAGTTCAACGGGGCAAGAGACATAAAAAGCTGTGGATAATCTGAAAAAATATAAATAGAAACTTATTAAAGAAATTTTTGTTCTTTATTTTTGTAGAAGTTATAAAGAGATTAAACATAAATCGTTAACACAAAACAAAGTTTTTTATATTTTGCTATTTTTTAAAACTTATTGAAATAAAGCAAAATTATTAAAATGGTTGGAGTGGAATAGACTTATAATGACCAGTATACGGGTCATAGTAAGTCCGCTATTCCACATATTTAAGCAATCTCATGTTTTTAAAATTTTTTAAACCGATGGTAACTATTTAAGATATTTCAAGCGGGTATTATATATATTATTTAGACAGCTACTAATATCTTATTAGTTGATAAATAGCAATTCATGCAGCAGTTATGTTATGTGCAAACAAACAATGCAAAAAACTATCACATTTTTTTGCTTCAACATTTTTTGCTTTATTGATCTTGAACCTTTTAAAGTTATATTTACTTTGTTTTACTGAATGGATAAAGTATACCACAGTAAATTTACTTACAAATTAAATCAAAACAACTGAAATTTACTGCAGTACTCAAACAACTGTAATTTACTTACAGTTACTCAAATATTATCTTATCAACTATATTAGT